GTGATGCTGGTGATGATGTTGGTGGTGATGGTGGTGGTGATTTTGGGGGTGATCGTGGTGGTTATGTTGATGGTGGTGGGGATGTTGGTGATGGTGGTGATGTTGGTGGTGATGGTTGTGGTGGTGATGGTGATGTTGGTGGTGATGGTGGTGGTTATGTTAATGGTGGTAGAGATGGTGGTGGTGATGGTCGTGGTGGTGGGGGTGATGGTGGTGTTGGTGGTGAAAAAAATGAACACACACACACACAAACACAATTATTACACAAACACACGCAAACAAACAAACACACACACACACACACACACACACACACACACACACACACACACTCACACACACACACACACTCACACACACAGCGTGGCCTACGTTATTAAAACGTTATCACGAAGGCCACACACACAGAGTCTCACCCGTAGATAGTTCCTTCCCAGCAAAGCGCGAATGGCGGCGCGGGAAACTCCTTCCGGGTTGTGCTGATCTTGACCTTGTTGATCCATGTGGTGACGGTCACCGGCATTGAACGTTTCTCTGGGTTTAACAAGCTTCATAAATTTCAAGGCAGCCTCGAGCCATGCTATGCTCAGATTGAACTTGGCCTCTGGGATAGATAGATAGATAGGTAGATAGATAGATAGATAGATAGATAGATAGATAGATAGATAGATAGATAGATAGATAGATAGATAGATAGATAGATAAACATAAATATAAATAGAGAAAGCAGATAGATAGATAGACCGTGCACTGTCTTGGGCGTCACTCTTCGATTGCTATGAAAACTTTGCTGCGAAGCGTGAGCAACATGAAGTATAGTGTGGTCAAAAATCCGTGGTGCAACTTATTGTCAGGTACCTCAACTATCGCACATTAATTTTACCAGCTTTTGCATAATGACTTGTATCAATTAAATTTTGTCTTAGTACATCAGTATTTTAAACACCTGTTAGTTGTATTCAAGAAAATTGTGCTTCGCTGAGTTGTATTTCAAGCAGCTGTCTGGTCCTTTGTTATAATTTCATTCCTTGTATTCTCCTACGAAGACGAATATAGGGAGATTCCCATGTAGGTGTTGCAGTCTTTCTTGCTTCCTTTATATTTCCATATGGTGCAAATAACAGCGCTTTGTTAGTCATCTGGGATTCGGCGTTCCTTTCGTGCTACATTAACGGTTCTTGTTAGCCAATCTATACCGGCGTTTCGACATCACATGGCCAATAAATGTAAAAGTTTATGGCTCACAAAAAAAGTTTTGTTTTTGATTTTGTTTTTGTTTTGTTTTGTTTAATAAAGACAGCAGTCTTCAGTCTAAACATGCTCTCTCTTTTTTTTTCTTTTTTTTTAAAATAAAGACAGCGGCCTTCAGTCTAAACATGCTCCCTCTTTTTTTTTTTTTTATAAGAGAGAAAAAGATAAATTGTATTGATTTATGCAAACGGATAACCAACTGTTCGTGTTTACTGAAAACAGCAGCGTTTAATCTAAACATGCTCTCAGTATATTTTTTATACAAGAAAATAGATAGATAGCATTGATTTATGGCACAAGGATATCGAACTGTTTGTGTGTAATTGAAACAGGAGTTTTCAATCTTAACATGCTTTCTCTACTTGTTTAAAGAAAAGACAAAGCTAGATTTCATTGATTTATGGTACACAGATAAACTCATTGGTTGTGTGTAATGAAAACAGCAGTCTCCAATCTAAACATGCTGTTTGAAAAAAAAACGGGAGGGATGAGGGAGATTTATTGGTTTATGGTGCACTTTTGAATTTTTTAAAGAGCATAATATAGAAATTGTAGCTGTTTTACGTCCCCATCGACACAATTTAGATCATTTAAAATCCAGGCTGCTTTCAGACTACCGTAACGCCATCTTTGGTGTAGAGGCTAAGCGCTTAGCTGTCGCACATGAGACCCGAGTTCGATCAACCAGATGGGAAAACTCTTATTGAGTATCTCGGTGTTTCTGCAAGGATGTTGCGTCCTTCTCGTGTGGAATTAGCCATGACAGGCAGGGTCAAAGTCCGACGCTTAAATGATGATCAAAACTGTGTGGATAGGGGAGTAAAAACACCTACTGGTACCATGCCGCTGCAGCAGTTTAGGACCAACCCAGGTTGAGAGCGATACAATGTCCCAGCTCACAGATACAGACATTCGATTTTTTTTAATCCCCACGTGGGAATCGAACGCATGTCCGTAAAAGTTTACTAGAGTCTGTAAACACGCAAACAAATGCACCTCCCCCCAATACACACACACACA